GTATAAGAGACAGGTAGTAGTAAGTCCGTAGACTATTTTTTTTCCCTCTGTTTTTTTTTTTTTTTTTTGTAGTTTTCCCAGTTGGCTATGCTCTAGTTTCTAACGCCTAGGTTTTTTTAGAATTGGTTGGAGTTCGAGCGTAGGCAAGACGAGGCAATTCGTTGTTGAATTGCCTTGTTGGGCTGAGGAAGGCTAAGCGGTGAAGTGTTTGTTTTGTTTACATGAAAGGCCTATACCTTATTGTCCATATCCGAATAACTTGGGGTTCGTAAACGAGCGATCTAATGACCTACCCTCTGGGCATTATGTCATTTTTTTACTTATCCGGTTTCATTGAAAGTTCGTAAACACAACCTTACACAAGTGCAACTGGTTAGATTACAATCTGTTAAAAATTAAGAGTGTGTAGACAATGCAAGTAATTTAGTTATGAGCATATGCATTTAATTGTTTTATTTTATCTAAAAAATATAGTTAATGTTCCGAAAACTAAATTATACTAAGTACTTATTAAATAATTATCTTAAATTATTAGAATCCATTACTGTACATGGACAGCATATATTGAAATTATCACTGTTGTCAATATTTAAGATTTACCATCATTTTTTTTCAACTTGATTGTACTTTTTATATTCGTCACTGTGAACCTACAAAACAAATTAAAAACAAGGAGTTAAATATATAGCATCATAAATCATGAACCACACACAAGTTACTTTAGTTTAAAAAATAGGGAAGAATGGAAATTAAAAATGAAAAAAAAAAAATGAAAGCAAGAAAATAATAGGGCACAGTAATAATAATCAGATAATGATTAAAGATTTTTGTAAATGGATTTCAACTGGAAAGAGTGTTCATTTATAAATATTTAGGGGTGTTTATTGACCAAAATGTGCTAAAAAATTTCCTGTTGCATTTCTGCCATAAAAGAGCAAAAGATTGTTTCCCAAAAGATTGCCTTACTGTATTTTATGCAACTGTTTTTCCTTGCTTTGAATACTGCAGTCTTGTTTGTGGTAATTTTGAAAAAACCATAAGTGAAAAAAATGCAAAGGTTCCAAAATAGATCAGCACATGTTTGTACTGGTGCAAATTGCAATACTCCAAATAGAACAATATTTTCAGATTTGGGTTGGGATAAATTGTTGCACTGGAAGGACAAAGCCACTACTATATTTATGTGTAAAGCTTTAAACTTGCTTGCTCTTCCATATATAGAAACTATGTTTGCCTATAAACTAACCTCTATGTAGTATTAATTTACGAAAGTGAAAAAGAACTTAAAATTCCAAAGCCAAATAACAATACTGAAAATAGGAGCATTAAAAATGGGAGCATTCTTTGATCGATATAATTTCACAAACTCTCTCCATGGATTCACCAAACGATTTTATTACCACAGGATACAATTTAACCAACTCCTCAAAAATTATAACGCGTGCAACCGGTACACTCTGTGAGAAATGTCAGTGATTTGAATTCATTTAGCACACATTGTTTGATTTTACTGATTTCTTGTTGAAATTCTAAAACGTCCAGATTTTTTGGTGTTTTTGACATCGGAAATCGAGACGATCCCAATTAAATTGGAATGGTTGGCAGGTCTGGCATTGTTTTAACACAGGCGTTGAGCTCGTCAACTTCCAAAAGATCTGTGTATTTTTAAAAGTGATTACTAGTACAAGGTAAAAATTATTCTAGCTATACAACAGTTATAATGATTTAAATATTGAATTAAAATCTTTATAATTTAAACTGATTTGAAAAGAACTGCTGTAGTTGAAAAAGTCTCGAAGTTTCGATTGAGTTGCTTTAATCATCTTCAGGACAATAATTCTCCTGAAGACGATTGAAGCAAACTCCAACAATACTTTAACTGATTTGTAATAACGCTTATTTCATTCTTAACAAAGTGATATTATCTATAAGGTAACTTACAGCAAATTCGTGTTTCCTTTTCAAGTGCATGTTCAGGCGTGCCAGGCCCATCGCCCGGCAACCTGGCACTAGGCAATTTTTTCTTTTTCTGTTTTTCTTTTCATTTTGATTGATGAATCTATGAACAATTGACATAAGTAATGGTATTATTTTATAACACAAAAATATAAAATATTAATAAATGACAAATAGTTTAAGAGATTCAACTGACAGATTGAAAAATTAGATGCATGCATGCGGAATATGTACAAATTACAAAACAGAATCAGTCAGATTAGTGCAAATTATTAACTACAAAACATACTGAGTGATTTGGATGGACGATAACATTCGGGGAACTACAAAACAGAATGAGTGGTTAGAGTGCATAATAATATTACACAAACTACAAAACAAATTGAGTGGTTGGATGGATGAAACTCTACAAACAACAAGACATATCGGGTGATTGAAGTAGATGATAACATGCTATAATCTACTTGTAAATGAGAGAGTGCATGGTAACACATGAAATACAAAAAAACGTAAAAGTAAGAATGTTTAGTTAACGCTTCATAATCAGGCAAGACAATTTCAACATGACCACCCAATCCTCAAACTCGGAGCTATGGTTGCATTTATGAATCACAGATTGAAATGGTTAAGGTGTGTAATGACATTCTACTACAGTAAATAAAAAAGAGATTAAGTGATTAGGGTGCATGGTACAGTAGCATTCTACAAACTACAAAACAGATTAAGTGATTAGGATGCATGGTATAGTAGCATTCTACAAACTACATTTTATTATTATTATTATTATTATTATATTCACTTATCACAAGTATAATGATACATAGTTTACTCTTTACGTAACACAATATCTACTGTGTTTGAAGTTTATTACAGCCTCTACAATTACATGTAGTTTGGAACATTCACTATTGTGACTTAATCCTCCGTCATACTGGACTCCTACATCACGCTGCAGCGAACTGGCCATGAATTATGATCTATAATGGACTTTAGAATTAAAAAGATTGCGAATTTGTGTACATTGAATTGCAATAGCAAACACTGTATACTATATGCTTAGAGGATAATAGTGCTATGGTGGTAGTTTTATGAAAAAATTAAAAATTCTTAAATTTGTAGGCACTATGTCTTTAACATGAAATTACAGTAATTGTTTAAGAATCACTTTTAACACTCTAGACCCACTAATTTTTAAAGGTGTTTGGCATCCCTAGCATCTTTATATTTGAACAGTACATTAAATCCCTTAATTTCATTTCGATTACTTTCTAAAGTCAGGCTCCTGAGAAAAAAAAAAACATTGATATCTTGTGGAATTGATTTTTCTAAATTGGGGAATGATGAATTATGAGATACCAATTTTATTGATATTTAAAAACTGCGGGAAAAAGGTGTGTAACCGTACTTTTTTACACCTTTTCCTCCAGTTTTTAAATATTTTAAATTTTGTACCTCATTCATCGTTCCCCAGTTTTTTGTCAAACAACTTTCTTTGGTCGTAGAAAAATCATTTCTACAACATATCAGTTTTTTTTCATCCGGAGCCTGAGGTTTAAATACAACTATGCATTGTGTAAGCTTTTTAGCATATATGAGTCAAAAGGACAGTTTACTTTCAGTTGACCAAACAATTGTAAAAGTATGAAACAGTCAACGTTTAGGAATGTTTAGTACTTTACTCTCTAAAGATACTAAATACAAAGCACAGACCCCTCATCCTTGAATAATATTCATGAGTCATTCGCTGTAATGTGACATGAATATTCAAACAAGTCAAATATGAATAGTCACAACCTTCACTATTCCGGGAAACTGTGTTAAAGCTTGACATATTTTCAAGGTCCTTTTTATAGCATATAGGCCTATAGATGGAGAATGAGGGTTTTAATAAAAGAACTAGAAAAACCACAAAACTATCCGTACCTTATGTGCAGTAGGTGTTACTATATAATACCCTCTATATAGTACAGTAGGTGTACCTATCAATGCCCTTTGAGGCCATTTTTTGTGGGCCTTTTTTCAGTGGCCAATTTTTGCAGGGAAAATTTTACTACATTCTGTTATTAGTGTATATGGCTATACCATAATAATTTTCTATGTTTGAAGCGTTTGAAAAACAAGAACAAAATAAGAACATCTTGAGCCTGAAATCGGCCAAAAAATAAGAACACTGAGGCTGGGCAAAATTTTATTGGTTCTTATAAAAAAAAAGTGTATTTCATTTGCTGGCAATCCAATAAGAAAAGAATTACAACAGCCCAACCTCAAACATATTGAATTGTCATTTTTTTATTTATTTATTTTTTTTTTTCATACACACAATGCTTTTTGCATATAAGGCCATAAAAAGAAAATTGTTATGTTGGCGTAACGGGTCCCAAAAAATAGGGTAGGTAGGGATTTTTTTTTTTTTGAACATAAATAATATTCATCAAGGACCTTGAAATCTATAAAAAATCAAATCTATAAAAATCGTGTAAGTCTCATGGTTCGAATGCTTTACGTTCTCATGGGCTTCATCATTACGTTACGTTAATTTTTTTTTTTTTATATATATACATATACACATACTTAATAAACTACTCATGAAAAGTGCTTTTCTTACTCCTGTATAATTGTGCTTTGTCTCATGGTTCAAGGATTCTTACTTTCTCATGGGTTAAAACTGTTCTGTTACAATTTCTTTTTTGTTTATTTACTTATTTATTTAATTCTTTTTTATATTTTTTCATTTTTTTTATTTATTTATTTTTTTTTACAAAACGATTCAAATAATAATAATAATAATAGTAAGAATTATTGATCTTCAAATAAGAACATTTTATAATCATTTCTGAATAGACAATTCGCCCTTAAGCTACGTTCACATCAAGCCCGGATTCCGGTTCGGAGTCCGGACAGGAATTCGGGCCCAGTTACGGTTCCGGTTTTGCGTTCACATCGCGTGCAGGGAATAAAAATCGGGGTCGAGAAAGCGACCAAGTGGAACAACCTCAACAATGGCAAGCGCTGATGATGCGAATGGGTCAGTTCAATAAATAAACATAGACATACCCGTGGTCCAAATATTAGTTAATTTTGATCTTGTTTCTGAGCTTGAAAAATATTTAAAATTTCATTATTTACTAGGCCTAGGCCTAGTGCCGTGGGGTCTGCAGTCTGTCTGGAGAAAATGCCCAAGCTTACTTTGCTGCTAGCCTAACTCCCAACATAGCATAATGCTAGGCTGCGTTCACTTTATTTTTAATAACAACACTATAAAATTTACTTATCTTTTAGTGAATATGTTGTTTAAAGTGTGATGCAAGTTACGCCTAAAATACAGCATAAAATTAAAAAGCAAAAACAAATCCCACGGCACTCACTCATCTTCTCGCGCTGACTTTCGAGCTGATATTTTTCTTGAGCAAAAAACTTTGAGGTCATTCACGCTTCTCGCTGATTGGTCAGAAATGAAAATCCGTCCGGATTCACGTTTTCAATGACTTTCTGATCCATTGCTCCGAATCCGGAGTACGGAGAAAAAATCAGACCGTGTAGATGTGAACGCTCCTATTCTTTACCACTGTAGCCATTTTGCACAATTTTTTCTCCGGATTGGAATCCGGGCTTGATGTGAACGTAGCTTTAGACCACTTTTAAAACATTTTGACCCTTGATGATGACCCTTGGCCATTCCTTGTCTATTTGCTTTTGTACTGAAAAGAAATAAGAAATTAAGTTATTAAGAATAATGTTTTACTACATTGTAACTTAAATAATTAAGCCTATTATTCTTATTATTATTAAAGATTTAATTTACTGAGAAAAAAAGCCTTCAATCATGTTTTTTTGTGAGTCTCTTTTGTGATTACAAGTCACTTTATTCTTGACCATTTTTTTTTCTCTCCGAGAAGCACATACAATTATTAAAAACTTTTGTCTTGATAATTTCTTTTTTTATGATGATGAATGATTATTTGAAAATTGAAATTTTACCTTAGGGTACATCCTCCGCATTTTGTCATACAATTGTTGGAAGGTGAATATCTGTAATTCCCTGTGGTTTGCATAAACTTTACGAGCCTACAAAAAAAAATAATGAAATTTTGTATTAAAAGTATTTGTGTTTTACTTTTAGTGTTCACATCATGGCTTTAAAACAAGTGCTAATTGGCAACATGAATATTTTTACAAACTAAGTTGGAATTCATTCATTCATTCTACTATTCAGATAACCATATTCATAGAATTCATAGAACATAAATATTGCACAAAGATAATCAATTTTACTGCGGGTATAAACATATTATATCACTGCACCCTTATAACCAAAATCTACAAATCTACCTTAATTTTTCAAATTAATCAATCAAAACCATCTTTGATGAAGAGCATTTATTTATATATTCTTTCTTTATTCTATAGGCACTTTCAGTACTCATGTACAGTTACATAACAAACACAGAAATAAAAAAAAATAAATGCCAACATCTTAAAGGAAAGATTCAATGTAAATGTTACAAATTTTTTAAGGTTTGTATGCCTATGTAACAATAATTTAATAAATATTTGCGGTTCAGGAGATTAGATGTCTAACCTCGTGAGTACGACTAAAGCTACTCAATATTCCAAGACAGTACCATCAAATAATTATGAGTTTGGCTACAAGTGCATTACAAATGGAGACTGTTGCTGTATATGTGGCAAAGAAAAGCCAAACCAATCACTCGTCGCAAAGCATGTTTCAGAGAAAATGGCCAAAACATGTTGTCTTTGCCACATATATATTCTGATGATAAATATGGAAGTGCACTTCCTTTAAAAATAATTATTCATCCCCTCTTTACATTGAGTCTTTACCAGCCAAGAGAACTTAAAATAAAATCAATGTAAGTCTTAATATCTACTGAAGTAAAATCCGAATTGAACTACTCAAAAGGACTTATATTCATAAAATGAAGGTAAGCGGTTAGTTACAAACAGCATGCTTGCACCATTTTTTTCCCATCAAGACTATTACAAATTTTATGGACTAAATATCTTATCATTTTAACCCTAAGCAAAACATACCTTACAATTACCGTGTATGCGGACATACGGATTTAACATTTCACTATGATATAGTATAAGAAGAAAACATTAATATAATTTAATGGTAGAAACTCACTTCATTTTTAGGCATACAGCCTTGCATTATTTGTTGCCCAAACAGGGCCCAAATAACATTCATCACTACCTGGTTTCCATCAAACTTAGACTTAGGTCCAAACCTTGATGGTGTTGTCTGTAAATGTAATTCATTGAAAATATAAGTACGTAATTGGACAACTCTGCTTTTGAAGTACAGTTGTCGAATTTTGGTTAATCTGTTATGTTTAGTTAAGACATGAATATATAAAATTATAAAAGTAATGATAAATAAAAGTAGATAAAAACTACATGTACTGGCATAAATAAATCAGATAAGTGGAACGACAACTGTAGTTCATATTCCAATGGAGTACTTACAATTTCAAATTGTCTACTTTCATTTTCATGTTGAGTCTAGCAGAATAAAAGTATTCATTACTTAATCTTTACATACTGTAATATAAGTTTAGATGATTTAATGCTTTATTTTCATTTGTTTCATCTGTTATATTTAAGTTAAGTTGATTTTTTACTTTTGGATCATCCAAAAGTAAAAATCAACTTAAAATTTCAAGCGATCCAGATGAATTTCAAGCAATCCAGATGAATTTATTCACGACATGATTATATAAGATTATAAAAGTAAGAGAATGTATACGTGCTAAATAAAAGTAATAAAAAACTACATCTACTGACATAAAAAGAAATCAGACAAGTGGATCAACAAAAGTAGTTCATATTCCGTGGCGTACAATACTTACCGTTTCGGGTTGTGATTCCATTTCGTTGTTGATAGCCTAGCAGAAAAAAATATATTCATTACTTAATCTTCACATACTGTAATATAAGTTTAAATCAACTTAGTTAAGACATGATTATATAAGATTATAAAAGTAGAGAATGTATAAGTGCCAAATAAAAATAATTAAAAACTACATTTACTGACATAAAAAAGAAATCAGACAAGTGGAACGACAACAGTAGTTCATATTCCGTAAAGTAGAGTTACTTACAGTTTCGAGTTGGATTTCACTTTCATTCATAGCCTAGCAAAAGAAAAAAGTATTCATTACTTAAACTTCACATACCGTTATATAAGTTTAGATGATTTAATGCCTTATTTTCAATTGCTGCATTTTGGTTAATCTGCTATGTTTAGTAAGGCATGATTATATAAGATTATAAAAGTAAGAAAATGTGATAAATAAAAGTAGTTAAAAACTACATGTACTGACATAAAAAAAAATTAGAAAAATGGAATGATGAAAAACTATGACATATTTTACTGAATTAAATACTACCATTGCTTACCAACATATCATTTATAGCGTTTTCCACGCTAGTGGATACAACCTGCAGAAAAGTAGAGCATATGCATATTTAGAATAGATAATATATATTTAGAATACATGAATATATATAATATCTGTAGTCTATGCATTCAGGGTAAATTTTCTTTTATTGACTGAAAGTAACTTGTAAGTTGTAAGTTTTCTTTAATTTCTGTGTGTTAAGTTTATATGTTATATTTTCATCTCGTATTTTTCATACGCAAATTTGATCCCTGAATAAGAAGGGTGATATATTATGCACCTGTCAAACCTAGGCCTAGCTTTTTTCAAGAAATAATCGCACCACACGCACTGGCTGCCGCTAGCCTAGTCTCAGAAAACAACTAGGCCTAGCCTCCTAGGCTAGAGTATTCTTACAACAAACACATTCGAATCGAAGGTGCAGGAAAAAAAGACATAAATAGAATGATCGATTTATTGTTGTATGTGTTATATTGCAAGAATTGTAAGTACATTAATGTAAAAAAAAATCGTTAAAAACAAACTTTCGATTAACAAATCACAAACATTCAGCCTCTATCAACACACGCATGATGCTCCGATGAGATTGACGGCGGTAGCTCGAGATTGGACTCCATTCACCAGACATTTTCTTGCGAAGCACGTAGTTTTCGATTGTGAATTATTTATTTATGCAGTATTGAATAAAGAAGTTAATAATAAAAAAAATAAATACAATGTTTTAAAAAGTGTTGTTGTTTATTTATTATAAAGAAACAATATTGATAATAATGTTCATATCTTTGGTTGGTCAAATATGAATTAGCAGGAGTTAATAAAGTGTTTACAGTATTGTATGTATTTGTTTATCTGCGTCTGCGTGTTCTGGAGGTCTGACGCACTACATGGGAAAACCCAGAGAGTGAAAAATAGTCGTAGCGTGGGAAATAGTTGTTAATCATCGTGTGGGAAAAGGTACTGCGAGAAGATAACCGTTGCGCGGTACTACAAAGGCTAAAGCACTTTTCAAAGCCGAAAACGCTTTTGTTTAACCATAGCACCGCTAACACGCGAATTGACACTTTGCGCTTGCTGCTGCCAGGGTAGTCAC